GAAGATTTATTAAGGACACTCATCTTACCTCTTGTCCATAAATGAATAAGATTAACAGTTACTGTAGTTTACCATTCAGTCTATTGTTCTAAACTTGTACATCCATTTAGAATATATTGACAAAGAAAAAAATCCTGAAGGAATTTCGTAAACTCCAAACACAGTACAACCATAATATCATATTATAATTTGTTTGTCTACCTGTCTGTAATGTTATTAGCTAATGTTGATTCATGTATTTTCGTGGGTACCAATTTTCGTGGATTGAGGAAAACTTGTACATTGGTGGATATTTAAATTTGTACTGGTAGTTTTGCAAAAGTCTGAATGACAAGCCTATAGAAAAATTATACTTCATTGGTCATTTGAATTCGTGGTTTACCAATACCCACAAATTGATCAAAAATTGGTATCCCACGAATAATAATGAATCTACTGTATCTGACATTTTCCTTTTATGTACAGGGGTCAAAAAAAGAAGTCTTCATGGCAAGCTGCGAGATTGATATACAGGGCAACCTTAACCCAAGATCAACTTGCATTTTTAGAAAGCTACTATGAAGTAATTACTATTTACGGGGTTCTAACTTTTGTTGATTTCATGGGTACAAAGAAACCACAAATTTAAATGTTCAAAGAATTATAAATTGTCTTTAGGCTTGTATACAACTTTTGCAAAACAACGATATCAAATATCCACTAAAATACCATTTTTCATCAATCCATGGAAATTGGTATCGACAGTAATTTGATTGATTTACACTATTTAAAGCTAGAAGATGTACAAGTACATTTTATGTTAAGAAATTTCTTAATATTTATAATAAAAGTTATTGATTCAAGAAAATTATTTGATTATGGTTATATTATCCCATTGATAGATTATTGTTGTACTGTTAGGAGTGGTTGAACTAAAAAAGAGCTAGAAAGAATAAAGAATTTTTTGAAAAAGGGAGCAAGAATAATTTTGTATGATGAACCACTTTCAGCCTCAGCACCACTGTTTAAACAGCTTGGGTTGATGACAGTAGAGAACAGAATCTCATACCATAAATCTGTTTTGATTGATATTAAAGCCCCTATATATTTAATCAAAAATTTTATTGAAATGCCAGAAAATAACCAATATTGTTTGAGGAATAAGTCTTTCCAAAAATTTCAGATTCCAAAAGCTTAAACAGAGCTGTATACAAATCTTTTATCTATTCAGGATCTTATTTATGGAATAACTTACCAATATCCATGAAAGAATCAACCTGGAGTATAAGTTCTCTCAAAAAAGATTAAAAAAATTACTTGTTGGAAAATTAATATGCTGTGTAATATCATACATGTATGCATATTTGTCACACACTTGAACTTTGAATATTGTTGAGGTAATTTAAATGATTCAATACTGTATGAATTAATCATCTTTTCCTGTTTTAAAAATGGTATATTCATTACAATTAGATTTATTCTTATGTGTGTGTTTGTTGGATTATTTTTCTATTCTTTAAAAATATGAGGAGATGTGGAATGATTACCAATGAGACAATCATCTATCAACCAGAGTAAAAATGAAGTGGTAGTAAGCAATTAGCCCACCATACAGCCTTCAACAATGAGAAAAAGTTAAACTGTACAGTCTGCTATAAAAGGCTCAACATTCAAAATGAGATGAAAAATGTGAAACAAGAAAACAAGAAAAATAACGGCCTCATTTATAACAAAACAATTGATGAAAAACAAATCTGTGTTTGTTATATTTTAATGTATTTCATGACGCCTCAAGGAATACTAGTTTTATACATGTACCTAACAGTGTTACCCTCTTTAAATGAAGATTTATTATTATTATCATTTAGGGAAAGTTAGTTGCCCTCTTATTAATATTCCTACTGTTGTATAAATTAATTATTTCCATATTTGTTGTCTGATATGTGTAAAGTACATTTTGTCATGAATCCCTCTAATGTTCATGCAAAATTTGCATTCAAACTTTAAAAATAGTACTAACAGGATAGAACTTGTAATGATTTGTTTGAGAAGTTATATTAACCGCAAAAACTATTTACCCAAACTTGGTAATTATACTTTATTTGATAACTACCATTTTGATGTGCTTCAGTAATTATCATGATTATGTCTCCCACCGATCTTTAAAATCTATTTTTTTTTTGTAACCAATAGTATTTACTTAACATCAAATCAATACTAATGCCTATAACAAAACTGTACCTTTAAAGCATTTTCATCATTTAAATCTGAGAATAGGTAAATAAAATATGCAAACATAAACAAAGAAACTGTTTATTGTCAGTATCAAATATACTGGCTAATGGAGTGTATTTCAATTACTTTTTTATGTTAAGTTTTAATGGTTTTTCAATTACAATATATTAATGTATTAACTATTATTTGAGGATGTGAATGGCCTTAATCCCACAAGCTTCCATTTTTAGAAACTTTGTGGGTCGAATGAGACTGGAAGTTCTATCTTCATTCATCATATATTCTAAATATGAGCTACCCTAAGGGAGAAAATCAGAAAAACCATAATTTTACAAAGAAAATCAATTCATTGTAAACATGTGCCAGTACTAAATTTCAGCAACAGTTATATTCAGTTTTATCATGATCATATATATTCAAACCATTCCTCCTACACCCCCCCCCCAAAAAAAAACAAACAAACAAACAAAAATATTGATATTCCTTTCTTAACAAAAATATATACTGTACATTTTTAATCAATAATTGAAATCAGGTTAAATGTCTGATAACAGAAATTTATAACATGAATTACTTTTTGAGGAGATATAAAACTTTGTTTTTTTAAACTCAAGGTACATTTAAAACTGAAGTCAATGTAAAAATACTTTTTGCTAAGGAAGACAACAAAAATTCAAACTGTTTTATTTTATTGACAAACATTCAGGTGCTGGTAATTCATCACCATTAATACCTGCAGTATCTATCATGAATAAATGTATGCACATAACATATTTTCATAAACTGTATAAAGTAGTCCTTCAACTTTTTGGCCAGACAATGGTTTTATAAAATTAGACAACTATTCACCATTGTCTAGATACTGTGGATTTAATTAGCAACTATAGGCTTCAATACAGCCTTCAACAATGAGCAAAACCCATACTCTATACAGTATACTTATGAGCTTTAAAAGGGAAATACAAATGTACATGATAAAATGTGAAACAATTCAAATGAAAAAAACATTTACCATACTTAAAAAACATTCCTCGATCAACTGTTGTGTATACATGTTAAAAAGTTTCATCTTCAAACATGTGATATTTGTAGAATTCTTTTGACATCCACAAAAATTCACTTACAGAGGGTGACGCTAGTAGTATCACCCTTATGACAACCACAAATTTTCTACAATGTACAAGTGTTCTTGATTTGATTGAAAATTTATTGTCATTAAATTGGTTGTTGCTTTAAAAAAAGTTTCTTTGTGGCAGATATTGTATAGATTTTACATACATACATGTATGTCACATTCCTGGTTACTTCCCTGATTTTCTTAAATTCTAGTCATTAGGCATGTAAAGTTTATCAAAAAAAGCAATAACAGGGTTCTTAATGGATTATTGGATGGACAATGTTGGATATCAATAATTGTCAACTTCATGAAAGTTGGCCATGGTTTCCCAAGGTAAAGCCCTTATGAAATCAACTCTAAGAAGTTTACAATTTCAGGATGTCAAAACACCATAAGAAATGTATGAAGGCTGTAATGTATATGTCTCACACATACAAAATAAAATTAGCAAAAGTATATTATTATTTGACAATAATTAGATAGGTACTTGCACTCATTCATGCATGAACATAATTTGAGTTATATGTTTATCAATATAAAAGCCCTTATGCAAACGTTAATACATGCATGAACACAAGTTATATTTTGTATATGTTATCAATATAACAGTCCTAATGCAAACATTATTACTACAGCATATAATATTGCAGTTACAAACCAGAGACATGTATTATATACTGTACATGTATGTCTAAGTCTACAGGAACCGTATGTCTAAGTCTACAGGAACCGTATGTCTAAGTCTACAGGAACCAAACAAGTAATCAAGAGAGAATATCACTGAGTTTAATCAATCCAAAAAACCAAGGGATGCTAAGGCCAGTGTGTTTTTTTCTGATCTGACTGCCCAATTAGAAAACTGCTATGGACTCTAAGTGGATTAGAATAGAAACTAATAAGAAAATGTGAATACATCAAAAGTTGTTTTTTGGGTTTTTTTAAGGGTGTTGTACCTTGTGCAAGTATTTTGGACTGAATAGTACAGTCAGAGACATATAATTTATGTCTCTGGTACAGTTTAAGAGCTTATGATAATTGATAATTAAAAAAGAAAATATATATATTTGAATAAATGAACTTTATTCTCATAAAACTACATATCATAGTTACAGAGAAAATATATCTTTACAATTACATATATCTATATATAAGCATATTTAGTTGATACAGAAATATATTGTATTGTAAATTTTCTTCAAACTTTGTCTTTGGTTCACAAGCATTTGTCTCTGAAAAAACCCTATATAATTTAATGTTTAATATATATTAAAGTCTATAGGTAATTATTTTCAGGAAAAAGTGCCTGTGCTTTGGTTGTCAGTGAAGCTTTCAAACATGAAATGAGTTATGTATACATGTAGATAAAAAGATAAAAAAATATCCTATTTATAGATCAGGATGAGTGATCAACCAATTGAAAATCTTAAAATTTGGGTTTTCCACGATGTTCCTTGTGCATGTACAGTATAACATGGATCAATTTTTTAATTGATACTAAATAATGAACTGCTTTAAAAAAAATCAATTTAAAACATTTTGTCTGATATATAGGATTTTAAAGAGCTTGTGTGGCAAAAAAGTTTATATAGTTTTCGTTATCGAACAGTAAATTCTCTTTGATGAAGCGCGACCTTCCCTTTTCCGATTGCATGTTTACATTAACTCTTACCTTGGAGTAACACGGTTTATCCTTAAAACTGGCTTTGCATGTTATCCAGATAACAATAAGATAGTTGATATAAAGTGACATCTTAAGTTTGTAAAGTGTGACATTTCATATTACGTTGATTTCACTTGGTGACTTCACACGTTGTACTCCTACTAATGTTTACATTTGTTACGTTCCGAATGATCCAGCACCTTCGGAAAACAAAAAGTGACATATGGCGGGAACAGTTAAACGCTGGCAAGGACGTCTAACTAACATCTAATATACGTCCTTGATGTGGGATTATCTTAGGACTCACCACAATTCCTACCATAATTCTGACTTTTTATCAACTATTTTTTGATAGTTTACCGTTACCTTGATGATATTTTTGCTTTAAATTATCAAGAATTCTCTAATCGTAATATGGAATAGAATAGAGAATGGAAACGGGGAATGTGTCAAAGAGACAGCAACCCGACCAAAGAGCAGAAAACATATTCTGAAAGGGACTACTTAACATTTAACACTGAAACATTTGAATTAAAACATAAATTAATATGTATTGCTATGCAGGCATTAACACTTACGACCCTACACCCTGTCAATACTTATATTTGGTATTGTGCAAGGACGGTCATGTTTTTCTCGGACTGTGTATAACTAGAGACATATAATATAACGACGACTTTACATTAAATCTATTTGATGTTTACTGATTGATATTTTGCCTTGAATCACATGTTCGTTGTTTATGTTGTCATGTACTAGCTTTGAGTAACTGCATGAACTCTCAGATCAGTATTTTGTTTCCTTAAGTCTTTGTTTAATTAATCGTGTATGTGCTTTGCTTCGATCTGACAAGTCAAGCCCTTTTTCAACCGATTTTTACAGTTCCGTACGGAGACCTATAGTTGCTAACATTTACGTCCTGAGGTCTGGATGGATTGTTGTCACATTGGCAATTATACCGCATCTTATTTTTATGATGATCTGGATGAGGTTTATAAAATAGAGAGTAAAGAGCCCAAAGATTAGAGAAAAAAATTGCCAAAAATTAAATAGAGAAAGGGGTTGTTAAATATAGAGAATAGACAACAATGGACAAAACATAAAAAGAATAGAAAAACATCTCTTAAAAATCTAAAGAATACAAAAATGAAGACCCTATCTATACCATCTGGACTACTACTAGTACATGTATTTAGAAATCTTCAACCCCTTTCATTGCAACATTTCAGAAGCGCCTGCATATTGAGTATATATGATGATGTCTCTCAGTTTGTAAGATATTCAAAGTAAAATAACAAAAATACCGAACTCCAAGGAAAATTCAAAACGGAAAGTCCCTTATCAATTGGCAAAATTAAGAGCTCAAACATATAAAACGAATGGAAAACAAATGTTTTCTTTTACTGTAACTTGACTATAGGTGTTGCTGTTTACCTTTACCTATTGTTAAACCAGATTGTAAAATTTACAATACAATTGGAACATTTACAGCAGAATTCATTGAGTGTGTAGGTAAAGGTAATATCTTTGGTTAGCTTGCTTGCTAGCTGAACCGTGAAGTCATTATTAGGTTAGGTAAACTACCCTCCTTTAAGAGTAGACTAGTCCGACAGATAACCAAACTAACTGACTGTAGGACTAGACTACTCCGAAAGGAGGGTAGTATACCTAACCTAATAATGACTTAACGGTTCAGCTAACAAGCAAGCTAACCAAAGATTCTAACCTTACCTACACACTCAATGAATTCTGCTGTAAATTGACCAGTTGGTATTGTTAGAGTTGAGTCTACCTTGATGCTACTTGTACTGTTTTTTATTCACCTAACCCAACCTTACAGCATGCTTTTTTCCTGAAGCTAGTTTTTTCTTCACCTAGGGTTATTCTATTATAAAATTGATAGGGAAGAAAATATTATTGGTTTTCATTGTTTTAAATCCCCTATATAGATGATTTATCTAATTTTGAACCAAAAATCTAAATCAGTATAAGATGTATGAAAATTAAAACTGTTTTTACATAATAAATGAATCTTTAAATTTTTAATCCTTATACATAGTATTGTCCAGTTGTCAGTGAAACCAGTAAGAGCTATTCAGGTGTTTTCAGTTTCAGTTTTCAGATGGATATGTTATGCATTCTTCATATGTCCATTCAAATTATTCATTTTGGAGTATTATTCGCAGTGTTTGAAATCTATTGGAATCAATGTGCATAACATATTGGGATTTATTTTATTTGAATTCACTTCTTAGATGCCATATGATGTTGCTTTTTAAAATGTTACTTGTTTTTTTTACAAGAATGGATTGTCATGAATGTATCAAGGAGTAAATAATTCATTCAAAATGTTTTGTGTGGCTTATACATGATGATGTACATGTAAAGTACATGTAAAATTCGAAATAATTTTGGAGTATATATATATACCTTGCAGTGTTTATCTTTGAAGTTTATAAGAATTTTTGTGCATAAAAATACTGTGTTCACGCAAGGGAATTCACTTTTTATAAGATGGGGTTTAGTTAATCTAAAAGGTAAAATAATTCAAAACTGGAATGCAAGTAGGAGAAATCAGTTCTCCAACATGTTTCTGGGGCTTTTAAATGTGATTTTGAAAAATAATCATTATAAAATTCTGGATCTAATATGAAGATAATTCACCTGTTTAAATGGAATATATATCATAGAAAATGAAATAAAATGTGAAATCAGTGGATATAGTCAAATCTAGTGATAAAGTTAAAAATAAAAGTAAAATATTCCAAAAAATTCATAACATCAGAATAACAATTTTGAATGTGATACCTTTGAAATAATCATTATAGAATTCTGGATCTTATATTGTAAATAATCATTATAAAATTCTGGATCTTATATTGGAAATAATCATTATAAAATAATTTCTGGATCTTATATTGTTTAAATGGGACATATATCATGGCAAATGAAATAAAAACTGAAAACTGTGGATATAGTTATTTCAAGTGATGTAGTGAAAGGAAAAATATTCCAAAAAATTTGAGTAAAGTGAGGATAATTATTTTGAATGTGATATTGGAAATAATAAAAAATTACAAATTTCTGGATCTAATATAAAGACTCGGCACCTGTTTAATTGGGATATATATCATGGGAAATTAAACAGAATTCTGTGGATATAGAAGAAAATCTAGTGATATAGTGAAAAATGTTAGAAAATATTCCAAAAGCCAAAGAGATAAAAGAGATCTTTTCAACAATATAAAGGAAATCCAAGCAGTCATAGTATTTGGCTATTAAAACATTAAGAGGAAATGTAGTGCATTATATGACATGCAATTAAATACCCTGCAAGAAAAAAACATATACATTTTGTTCTGGCTTGCTTACTCCTAATTTTTGAATAACAATAAACAAAAATCTTTCTTTTTCCTTCTAAATGTTGTGTTCCTTTGGCAATTGTTTGGTCAATTACTTCAAGGAATACATTCATTTCAACGAAAAACAGACTGTAATTACAAAGTTTATTTCCTTTACTTGTTTTAGGATTCTCTAATGAAAAACATTGGGAGATGAATTTTTAAAAAATCTGTAGTTTTTAACAAATATGAGAACATGAAATAAGTTTGCATCTTGTGGTCATACTCTAGCTTTATTTAGAACATACTCACCCCTTCTCGTCCAATGAAAAGTCAGTGTTTTCCCCTCTAATTTTCATAGTACATGGATTTCCATGCACTATAAAATGCTATACATGAATGACTTTTCATTGTAGATTAATTATGAAGGTGAACTCGTAAGAACTACACTAACGAAGTGGACAATTTCCTGAGGCATTTTCCTTGGGAAAATAGCCTACTGATTAAGATGAAAGAGAAAAGAATAAAAAAAAAAAACATTTTGAATTTTGCAAAAGTTATGTTTATACATTTTGTAATGGTACACATATATATAATAAACAAAAAATGAAATTGGGGTAAAGATGTAGGTAAAATGATATTTATTCAATTTATATACCGGTCATTCGAGTCAATTTTTTTTTCTTTCAAGAAAACAATGTCAGACTGCTGATATATAAAACAAAGGATTTTTTTTTCGAAAAACACAATACATGTACATTTATCAATAAAAAGTAAGCATCTAATGTTGAATGGTTTGAATTCAAATATTTATACAGTGAGTTTTATAATTATAAAAAAAAAAAATCAATTCAAAAAGCGGATTTATATAACATTGTGTACTTTTTAAAATAAAAAAAATGAAGATATATAAGTATTAAATTTTACCTGAAGCAGAAGAAAACTCAAATGTTTGAATAATTCATCCTTTTTGTCCTCACAAACTATGTCAGTGCTATTTCATTCAATCCATTGAAATGATCATTACCTATGTTATGCATTCACTTCATTATTAAAAGTGAACTCTTATTTATGTTTGAATATTACAATGGGAAAGGATAATTTTGTAAGGTCACTCGAAAGTGTGAATATGTTCTAAATTGGTCAGACAATACTTGTCTAACCTATAAGTGATCATCTATTCATCAACTCTAACAATACCAACTGGTCAATTTAAATGTCTCAATTGTATTGTCAATTTTACAATCTGGTTGAACAATAGGTAAAGGTAAACAGCAACACCTATAGTCAAGTCACAGTAATTTTCCAGAAAAAAAGAAGAGTTGCTGTTTGCAATGAATTTGCTTAGAGTAACTGACAACAACAGTCATGATATACGGTGGAGTTGGTTCTTTTGTCGAAAGTCTTACGATTGCAATAATGTCTTAGTTGACCGTTATTAAAAGTCTGTCAGAGATGATCACGAATATGTTACTTTCCTTAATAACATAATCCCGTCATCCTGAACTTTCACAAATACGGCTTATCGCAGATTTAGTTCGTCATAAAATACAAGTTGGAATACCAGTGGAAAACTATATTTACCTTCTGGAGAGTCCGAGTTCATATATTCTTTGTGTTCGAATCGTGTTTCTTTTGCTTAATGTTTGTCGTTGAGTTTTCATGATTACTTGCATGCTTTTCATTGGATGTTGGGTCTTTTTGGTCTATGGTATTTTCTATTATTTGTCTTGTAAAAATGTATGTATTTCTATTCGAATCTGTCACATTCAGTCATGTTTAAGAAAAATCCAAACAACCCTTGATCAGGAACAACATGTGTACAGAAGGGAT